TAAGGGGCTGGGAAGGTGGCTCAGTGGTAGAGCGCTTGCCTTGCATGCATGAGGCCCTGGGTTCGATTCCTCAGCACCACATAAGCAGAAAAAAAAAGGTGGAAGTGGCGCTGTGGCTCAAGTGGTAGAGCACTAGTCTTGAGCTGAAGAGCTGAGGGACAGTGCCCAGGCCCAGAGTTCAGGCCCACGATCGGATCAAAAAAAAAAAGAATTCACCCTAAGCCCAGAGATCCAGCTGCCTCCAGGGTGCTTTTTGGGAGGCAGAGGAAGTAGTCTTCAGTCTGGCCACTGACCAACCCCTTCCCACAGTGAAGACCCTGTGCCACGCATAGATCAAGGCAGATCCTCACCCCAGATGCAGGAAGGAGACAAAGTGGGGAGCAAGGACCAAAGATGTTGAGAAGACCTGGACCTTTGAAGATAACTTTTTTTGTCAGTAGTAGTGGGGCTTGAACTCTGGGCCTGGGCACTGTTCCTGAGCTCTTCAGCTCAAGGCTAGTGCTCTACCATTTGAGCCACCGTGCCACTTCTGTTTCTCTGGTGGTTAATTGGAGATAAGAGACTCATGGACTTTCTTGCCCGGGCTGGCTTTGAACTGCAGCCCTCAAATATCAGCCTCCTAAGTAGCTAGGATTACAGGCATGAGCCACCAGTGCTGAAGATAACTTCTGCATAAATTATATCAGAGCTGAGTCTGGACCTGGACAGATCTTAGATCCAGCTGATGCGGCCTTGGGTGTCCACTCTGTGACACGTATGTTTAAAATGTCTGCCAGCAAAAGCAAGGCTGGCAGAGAAGTAGAAAGAAGCCAGATGCTCTGAGGAGTGGAACCCAGCTTGGCTGAGAGAGGGGCTGGACATCCCACAGTGGCCTCTATACCTGGTACCAGTGGGGGTGGGGGTGGGGGTGGGGCAGGGAGTGTAGGGGCACAGGCACAGGCACAGGCAGAACTGGAGGTTAAGGGCTCAAGCCCCACATCTAGTTCTTAATCGTGGGAGCAGGTCACTGCTCTGTGCCTCCGTTCCTCTGTAGAACACAGTACCACCTCCTTGCCATCAATCAGATTGCCTCATGGGTCTTATCTAGAATGGACTTAGTATAGGGCCTTACAGATCATGAATTCAAGGAGAAAGATGAAACATGAAAAAAAGAAAAGGACCAGGGGTTCAGCTGGACAAGTAGAGCTGGCACCCCTTGCCCTGCCCATGAGGTACCAGGACTGTGTGGATGGGGGAGTAAACTTAGCAAATGGCTCCCTATGTTGCTCCTAAATCAAAAGAGACCAAAGTAAGGTGTGAGGCTCTGCCACCGCCCGACAGCCTATTTCTGTGCCTTTTGCCCCCATTGTGGCTGGCTCCTAGTTACTGATCAACTTTCCCCCAGCCTCCTTCTCCTTCTCCTCCTCCCAGCCCTCACAGGTCATTTACTACGCATGGTTATTGTTTTGATCAGGCCTTGTCATCCTAAGCGGTTTGTACAATCACAGGACCATAATCACTATCTTCCTGCGGGCAAACTGTGGCCCGGAGAAAGCACGAGTGCTCCCAGGCCTCCTCTGAGACTTCCAGCCCTATCTTCCTCAATAATGAAATGAAAACTTCACCCACGGGACACGAAAGGTCCAAAATGCTATGGGATGAGGGCGGAAGGGACGCTGGCCTCCGTCCTTAAACCAGAGCACAACTCTAGGCTTTCTTGAGAAGGACAAGGGCTCTCCCTTCCCCCGGGGCCACAGAACATCTCTGGTTGCGAGTAAGGATTAGGCCGAGGTCTGCAGTGGAGTGCGGGAGGGGGTGCCGGCTTCTACGGGGCCTCAGCTGGGCTCCCCTTGGACCCCCACCTGTACTGCCCCCTGCCCCTCCAGTTCCAGCCCAGCGACCCGCCCGCCGCCGACCCGCCCGCGGGTTTCTCTGCCGCCCTCTAGCGGCCTGAGCGGGCAGCACGGACCTGGGCGCAGGAAGCCCGCAGCCACCATGGCCCGAAGGACCCCGGACCGACCACCAGCCGAGCCTGGGCACCGAAGGGAGGTTGACGCTGGGGGGCTGAAAGAGGTAGTTACGCGCAGGCACCCAGCCGCTCCTATTACTGGATTACGATCTTACTTTCTGCGGGAAACTGAGGCACAAGAGTGTAGGGGGCGCGGGCGCGTGGCGAGGGCCGGGAGTCCTGGCCCGAAGCTAGAGGGTCAGTGGCATAACAAGGACCAGGCCAAC